GGGGGGTATAGATGTGAATCCAAACCAGCCATGTGGGACGGACCCTCACATCACAGGGTGAGAATAGAAGGGCAGTGGAGGAGAGTGAGCGAGGTCAGGGAGGGAGGGAGAGAACCCTATGTGGATGGAAGAGGCGTCCTCTACAGGGACATGACCCACGTTCTCCTGCACCCAAAACGTGCCTCTCACGTCTCCTCCCCTGGACATTCTTAGCAGACAGTTTCCCCAACTATGGTCCACATTCTTTTTCAGCACCTCCTGGGGTCATCAGATAGGCTCCAAGGCTCCCCCACTCTGAACGGTGCATTGTCCCCTTTGTGTTCACATCCTGGCTGCATCATGGGTCCTTCTGGTGTCATTTCGAGCCTGAAATAGCAGCACCCCGAGGACCAGCAGTACCAAGCCAGCTACGCCCATCCGGATGAGATTCTCCACTGTGTAGTCTTGGGGTTCAGAGGCTGGAAAATGTGGATACAAAGGTCAGAAAGGCCAGGGCAGAACCCAAATCTCCAGGGTTCTGGTGTCTACACTGGTTCCCACCTCCCCTTGACATCAGCGTCCCTGTGATGTCTGAACTCAGCACCTGCTCTGAGTGACCTTGATAAGAGTTAGCTGTGCCCAAGAACTGAGGGTGAGGGACTAATGGTTCCAATTCAGAAATAACTAAGAGCTGTGTTCCGTGTTCAGCCTGAGACTCAAGACCCATGAGCTTATTCCCCTTCAACTGAGATTCCACATTTTCAACAGCTGGGGACCCAGGGTCCATGGAAGAGGGGTTGGTGTCAGGGGCTCCTGAATCTCAGGAGCACGAAGGGGTGAATATCTGGGCTGGGTCTCCTTCACCCCACCCCGCCCAGGCCCCTCCTCTCTAGGCTCCGCATTTTCACTTTCACCTGGAATTGTTCATCTATTGATTCTTCTATTAACTCATTTATTTATTTATTAAATATATTTTTTAATGATTTCAGAGAGGACAGGGGAAGGAGACATAGAGAGAAACATCAATGATGAGAGAGAATCATTGATTGGCTGCCACCTGCACACCCCCTACTCGCAACTGAGCCTGCAACCTAGGCATGTGTCATTGGCCAAAATCATACCTGGGATCCTTCATTCCATAGGCTGATGTGCCATTGACTGAGCCAAACCAGCTAGGGTTTAAATCATTTATTCTACAATTATACAAATGATTACCTACAGTGGTATATATTTTACCAGATGAAAATTGTGGGCATATGGATGCTAATGGTGTGAGTTTTTTTTAATTTCAAAGTACAAGGAAGGTCATAACCAAGGAAGTCCACACTTCTGGCTCAAACTTTAAGTCACAGAGATAACCCCCCTAATTCATTATTGAGTGAGCATCCAAAGTAGGAAATCACGTCAATCTCTTCCCAATTTTGCTATAAAACCCAAGATTTAAACCAAATGATGACCTCTCGTTACAGTGATCCATGCAATAACTCTAAATGTCATATCCACAATTCAGAAAAGCGTCACTCAGTTGGGTTAATATCGAAATGGGTGACACCAAGAAGCCTTTGTAATGTGTGTCATGTGGTTAAACGTCAGAGAAAAGATAATTATGGGGGGATGTGTATCTGTCAGGAAAAGAGAGCATTCTTAGCAAACCCTAATGAACAGAAGAGGTGTTGGGTTGGGGGTGGAGGGTGGAGCCCCTGGTCCTTGGTCAGAGCCAATGTGCCAAAGCTGGCCTCTGTGTGGCACTGGAGGGTCAGGTTGTGTCCAGGCAGCACCAGTGAGCCTGGCTGGGCCGAGAGGGCGGGCTCCTTGTGCACACCTGGGAGGAGGGGACAGTGGAACCAGGGGACACCTCACATCGCCCACTGGGCTGCAGTAAGAGCTCTCACAAGTCCCTCCCTGAGCCTCCCACCTGTGGGTCTGTCCCTAAGAAGCCAGTGTCACTGATCCCCATGATCCCAGGGCCCCAATGGACACATATCACAGTCATTTTGGGCCCAGAAAACAGATGGGGATGCCCCCGGGTCTTTCCTCACCTGTGACCTTGATGTGCAGAGGGGCACTGGGCTGTGACCACACGTTGGGGTAGGAGCTGGAAGAACCATAGCATCTGTAGGTCCCCCCATGGGAGGGGCTCACGGGGCCCAGAGGGAAGATGGCCTGCCACCTCCCAGCATGGATCCTGGGTTCTGCTTCCATGCGTTGGGGCGGGTCAGCCCCTCCCTCCTTTAGCAGATGGAAAGGGCCCAATGTGAGCTGTGAGCTACAGGAGAGGGACACGTTCCATCCTGAGGCCACCACAGGGCTTGGCTGGGCTGAGAGGGAGGGTGCACCGCCCAGTCCTGAGGGAGGAGAAAGGGTCTGTGTTAAAGGGACCATCACCCTCATGTCCCAGGTGTGTTCTGTGAGGGGTGAAGTCACCTCAGGCCACAATTTATTCCCTCTGGGTGTGACCTGGAGCTCACAGTGGGGAGGGGACCTGGTGTCTCCCTTACCTGTCACCACCAGGAGCAGGGGGTCACTCCGCTCTGAGAGTATGTCCCCAGTGCTGTAATATGCACACTGGTACAGCCCTGCGTGGGATGGGGTCGTGGCTTCAATAAGGAAACCGGCCTTGTTGCTGGAGTCCTGTGGGATCCTCGTTTCCCAGGGCTCAGAGCCCCTCTCTTTATACAGAACGTAGGCTTCAGCCTGCAGAGACCCCTGACACCAGATGGTCACAGAGCTCCCGTTGTTGATGATGGGGCCTGGTTCAGCCCAGATGGAGGGTTTGGGGACGTCTCCTGGAAAGGAATCAGACATGAAAGCTTCTGGGAACCTTCATCACTCTCATTCCATCATGAATGAGACAGTGATGCCATTCAACGAGCACCTACTGTGTGGGAGGCTCTTCCTGGGCTCTTTCACTCATCTCTCACCTCACAGCCGTCATACACCAGGGATTGCTGACCCCACCACCTACTTTGCTGAGGCTCAGAGAGGTTAATCACATGCTCCAGGTCACCCAGCCTGGACAGGGCAGGGCTGGGTCGGGAACCCAGGACTGAGGATTTCCTGTGCTGTCCTCATGCTGCCCCCCAGGGAGACACCAGCTCCATGCTCTTTGCTCCTCTGCAGGGGCCTGGCCATGTCTCATCTGGAGCTGAGGGTCCTTCCTCATTACCCGCCCCCAGCACAGCAGGGACAGGAGGAGCAAGGTGAGGGGTGGACTCTGAGTCTCTCCCAGTTCCATCCCCACCCACAGGGCCCTGATGCCCCTTGCGAAGGTCGGGCTGGGCTGGGGGCTCTGCCTTCCTGAGCTCTGTGAGCAGGATGGGACCAGGGATGAGCAGACAGGAACCCGAAACTCAGAGGAGAGAAGGGACCGCCCAGCCCCACAGCAGGAGCAGCAGAGCCAGGAGCTGAACCAGGGCTGATCCACCCTGTTCCCTCCTCTGAGCTGAGCCTGAGCTGAGGGGTAGGAATGGGTGCCCGGACCCTTGTCCTGCCTGTCCCTCCCTGTACAGTGTCACTGTCACTGAGTCAGAGGGGACAGGTCTCATTACATCACGTCCTTGGGGCTTCCCTGTGAGGCCCCTCTCCCAGGAGGTCAGAGCCTGAACCGACAGGAAATCTGAGCTCTGGACAAGGATTCTCTCCTTTTACACCTGGAGACACTGAGGCCCAGACAGGGGAAGGGCATGTCCAAGTGAGAGACTTCAGAGGGGCCTGAACTCCCACATGGCTTAGACCAGCCTTGGGTGAACGACGGCCCGCGGGCTGGATCCGGCCTGTTTGAAAGGAATAAAACTAAAAAAAAAGACCATACCCTTTTATGTAATGATGTTTACTTTGAATTTATATTAGTTCATACAAACACTCCATCCATGCTTTTGTTCCGGCCCTCTGGTCCAGTTTAAGAACCCATTGTGGCCCTCGAGTCAAAAAGTTTGCCCACCCCTGACTTAGACCCTGTCCCCATGGAGGCACCCACCACCTCCCAACAGAGACCCCATTTCCCTTCTGTGGGCCTGACTCCCTGGTTGGGGGAGACCAAGCCTAAGAGCCCCTGGGGCCTGTGGTTCCCTGAAATCTGTCCCAGCTCCCAGAAGCCTTAGGACACAGCCTGCATGGGCGGCATTAGGTCCTCAGACTCAGAACTGCCCAGGGGAGCTGTCTCCCTCTGAGCAGATGGGAACCCGTGGGAGGGGGGCTGGGTCCCAGGGGACCTGGGAAAGACAGGAAGAAGAGGGGAGTCTCAGGCTACCCTGGAGTCCCCCTCACACAGAGTCCTCACTAAGTCCCTCCCACTGCCCACCTGGCACCTTCTGGAAAGGTGGGGGCAGGTGGGGAAGGGCCAGGGGTGTCTGAGGGGCAGATCTCCTCTGGGTGACCATCCCTACATCCCCTCCCTCCCTTTCAGCCCATGATTGTTCTGGGGACAGGACTCTGAGCTGACAGCTCAGCAAACAAGGTCAAGGGCCCCTCACCTGAGACCTGGAGCTCCAGGGGCTCACTGGGGTGTGAGCACAGCTGGGGCCTGTTCCTGTAGCAGCCATAGCATCTGAACGTCCACCTGTGGGTCGGGGTCACGGGGCCCACAGTGAACAGGGCCTGGGACTGCCCACTGGGCTGTGGCTGTGAGTCCAGGGTCCAGGAGAGCCTGTGATCTCCTATAGTAACAGTGATATATCCCTGAATCATGCTCTGTCATGTGTGTGATGGAGAACTTGGCCTTGTCCCCGGGCTCCCGTGGCTTCTCTCTTTTCTCTGGTGTTGGGCTTCCCTCTTTCTCCAGATGGTACTCCTCAGCCCCTGGGGTCCCCTCACACCAGATGGTCATGGGGCTCCCCCAGGGGATCACAGGGCCTGGCTCAGCCCAGAGAGTGGGCTTGGGGAGGGTTCCTGGAAAGAATCAGAGGCTGGGTCACAGGACATTCCCACCCCTGGTCCCAGCTCTTGGTCCTGGATGCCCCCCATCTGTCAGACAGACCCTGCCCCTGTGAAGAGTGGGATTTGGGACACCTGGGGAGACTCACCTGCCTGCACTGTGGTCCTGAGGCCCACACTCAGCCCTGGAAGAAAGTCCCTGTGAGAGATTTGCCCTGAACCCTGAGTAGCACCCTCCTACCCATGAGCCTCCTGAGTCCTGGGGTCCTGACAGACCGGGGTCCCCTCCCCCTCCCATCTCACCGAGGCAGAGCAGGGCCATGAGGGTTGGGGTCATGGCGTCTTCTCCCCGTGGCTTCAGCTGAGCAGATGGAGGCCACAGGTCCAGCGGGATTTACAGACAGACACACGGGTGGTGTTTACTTGGAGTTGGGTATTTCCTGGCCCAGGGTTGTCTCATCAGCAGCCTATAGGGGCGGGCACAGCCTCTCTCTAGGAGCCCAGCTCTCATTTTCATGGTGAAGCAGAAAATAGACCTGGTGCCTCCTGAGTTGCTCCTTGAAAGTGAGGTGACCCAGGCCACGCCTTCCCTGTCAGAGCCTCCCCCACGGGGTCTCCTTCCTCCTCAGCCGGTCCATCAGCACCTCCCTGGTGTCCTCACCATGGACAGTGTCACCCGGGCCTGGAGATGCTTCAGGAAGATGTGGGTCCCTGTGTCCTGCAGAGCTCAGATGCACAGGGACACGCTCACCCCCTCACTGTGCAGGTCAGGACGTTGTCCCTGTGACAATGAGCACAGAGGGAAATGCAGAGAAATAAGGGAAGGAAACAGGTCCCTTCTGTGGCCCCACAGTTTGGTTCTCTTCCTGTCCCAGCCTCTGGTCAACGGCCCTTTCTTGCAACAGTATCCATCTCTGAGTCACTCCTCCCCTCAGTGCCTTGCTCCTCAGGAAAATCTCTCCTCCTTGTCCTGGGCCCCTGTCTTCACAGTCAGTGACCATATGTGTGTTATTGCTCCGATTTGGGGAACAAAACTGATCTCATTTATTTATTTACTTTTTATTTTAAAAATATATTATTTATGGAATTCAGAGAGGAAGGAAAGTGAGTGAGAGATAGAAACATCCATGAGGAGAGAGAATCACTGACTGGCTGCCTCCTACACACTCCATATGGGGGACTGAGCCCGAAATCCGGGCATATGCCCTGACTAAGAATTGAAATTCAACCTCCTGGATCATACATAGATTGACACTCAACCACTGAGACACACCAGCTAAGCTGATTCTTATTTAAGTAGTCCTCCATTGTCCTTTAGGTGTGTGACCTTCACCCTCAATATACAACCTCTTGGGTCTCAGTTTCCTCTCATGCAGCATGTCCTTAAGAACGGAACTCCTTAGAGTGGTTGTGGGGTCTGTGCTGTGGGGACCTGGAGGGAGCCATCCTGGTTTATTTCCACACCTGACTAAGCCCTGTGAGGTGAGCCATGAGCGGTGTTGTTCAGAACTCCGCAAGAATTGGATGATTGCTATACCCACGTAAGAAACCCATCTGCTCTTTATACTGAGAAAAGCTATGCACACTGTTTCTGAAACATGTGGCCATCCTCAATGCCCAAAAGGGAAGTGCAAGTTCTCCAGATGGAGGGGGAAGCAGAACAGACAATGGGGGCCAACGTTGAGTGGCTACTGTGCCTGGGCGCAGCCAGAAGTCATCAGCATGGAGCTTCCCACCTCCTTGTGGACAAGAGAAGGACCCAGGGTGGCCACACACAGGGAGGGGAATGGACTCAGGGTGAAAGTTGGAGCAGGGTTGCCCCTCCACATCGTTTGGATATGGGCACTGGGGTCTCTCTACCCAAAGACTCAGCCCATGGTCAGCACTGAGCCATGCCCTCTGTGTGTGTGAGTGAAATGGAATCAATCCATTCTAGCCGGGCATGGGCGTCTGTCCAGGTGTGAGTGTGAGGCTCACCTTTGGCGTGGGCCCCGCTGGGCACGTCACAGTCAGATGCTAACTTAGGGAGAGAGAACAGCATGGGGCAGGGCAGATCCCACTACCCACCTCTTTGCATCCTGAACATCAGGACAGGCCTGGGAGGGACTCTCTGTGGAGAAGCAGGGGTGGAAGTGGTAGGGTCCAATAGGAATGGACGTGAAAGGGAAATCCCAGGGGGTGAGAGGAGGGAAGAGCTTGCTTCCCATGCACCATCCCCTTCCTCTCCACCCTGCCCTATCTGCCTGTCCTTCCTTCCCTCCCCTGCAGGATGGGGGCATCATGGCTGTGCCGTCCCACCATCCCAGCTCTCCCTGACAAAGTCATCTAGTGGGATCCCTTCATGTGAAAAACGCTACAGACCAGGTGGTGCGAGCCATCCAGGAGGGTGTTGTCTGCTGTTGCTGCTACTTTCTTGAACATATCAGGTTTCCAGATCTGACATTTGGAAAGGTTTGGGATTTAGCTGTCCCAGAGGGCAAAGGTGTCCTGAGCAAACGGGAATTGTTCATTGCTCTCTGCCTTGTGCATGTACCCAGAATGCATGGCAGGTGTCATGGAGAAGCTTAAACCTTGCTTTCCAGTACCCAGATCTCAGGACACCCACAGTCTCTCACTGGACAGTGGAAACTCTGCATCGGGATCCTGAGGGCTGTAAAATCAGAAAACAAGGCCAAACATGGTGCCATTTTTGATTGTTTTAAGCCCCATATGTGGATGTGCTAAAGGGAAACCAGCATCACTCACCCTGAAGCTGCCTGTGGCTGCCCGTGGAAGCATTTGGGAGCTGAGTGGTGTTGGCCATGGTGTGAAGCTCATGGAGATGAGTCTGCAGGTGCCATGTGCTTGGTAAAGGGCACATTGGAGGAAGCACCTGTGCCCAAGTCCTGGCCTCCAGCCTTGTGCCACTGCTAAGAGGAAAACGTGGGTTGGATCCCCCGCAGAAAAAATTAGAGAGGATGGCATCTTCCTGGAAACTGATGAAGACATGGATGAGTTTGTGTCTGAATTGTGAGATCTACCTGGAGACAGGGTTAGCTTCTACCTGACTAGCCTATCTTTGGGTATCATGTGACCCTGTGGGAAGCTTTCAAAGGGTATGTTTGCCTTGGCTTTTCACTCAGTCAATCAGAAGTTAAAAGGGCATTGATCCTCCTCACATTTTTATTCCTGAGATTCTCCCACCACCAGGAAGGGTCGGTTTACCAAAGAGCATCATAGGATCCAGTCCTGCTACAGATTTCACTGCTATTAAGGAGCTAGATGCCTTTAACAATGATACCATTGACCTAAAGAGGGACTTTATGTGCAAGAGGACCTTAAGGAGAAAGAAGGTACTCTATTTTAAAAAATTGTCACCTGAGGACATGCTTAGAGAGAGGGAGGAAAGAGGGAGACAGAGAAACATGAATCAGTTCCCATCTGCAGGTGCCCCAACCATAGACTGAACCCTCAACCCAGGTGTGTGTCCTGACTTGGAGTTGTACCAGCAACCTTTAGGTGCACAGGCTAATGCTCAACCAACTGGGGCCACTCCAGCTGGGCGAGAGATATACTCTTCAAAAGAGAACGCTGATGTTCAGGGCCTTGATGATGAACCTCAAAGCCAAATGCTAATCTGAAAAGACTACAGGCCCAGAAAAAGCAAGCACAGGGTCTCCTTAATGGTCTGGATGAGCAGGAGGCCCAGTTGCAGGAGAAACTCAGGAAAGTCAGCCTAGTACACCGAGGAGACCCAGCTGGTCATATCCCTGGAAGCTGAAGGGACAAGTCAAGAGTTGCAGATCTCCACTTCTGAGGAAGAGCTGGTCATGCTATAAGGAAGAGGGGCGTGGCCTACAGCAGGAACAGCAGGATTGGGGGAGAGTGTGGACACAGAGAAGGGCCAGCTGGGACCTCCTCAGGGGCACCT